CTCCCCGCTTATGCTAATGAAGCCCGGGAAATTCAAATCCCGGGCTTCATTAGCAAGTGCGGTATGCCTACATTACCCCGCTAGTTCGAACTAGCGGGGTAGTGTAGACATACCCAGGGAAAGTAACCCAAGGAACAAGAGGCAGTAAAGGGAAGTAGAGGAGGACAGGACAAGGTGTCCATTGGAGGTCAACATAATTTTTGTCAACAAAACTTGGTAGTGTAGACATTAGGGATGCTAAATATCGGTTAATTGAATAGTTGATTAACCTCATGAATTCTTATCAGTTAACCAGTTAACTATTCTATAGTCCCTGGGGGTGGGGCTGGCAGCCAGTGCGCTCCAGCCCCACTCCTGGGGAGCCCCTTGCCACCCCATGGTGCTGCCTCTCTATCAGAGGCAGCAGTGCAGGATGCCAGGAGGGAGCTAGTCCATGAGGGGAGCCAGTTTAAAAACCAGCTCCCCTTGTGGACCAGCTGCCTGATACAGAGGCAGCAGCATAGGGTGGCAGTTGGCCCTGTCTGAGGGTGGTCTGAGCTCCACCACTTGGCGCAAGCCAGAAATGAGCCAGCCTGCCTGCCTGGTTGCTAATACATTTTAAAAGCAGAGTGGCAGTGGGGGGAGGTCCTGGACCTGGCACAGGCCAGGGCTGAGTAGGGCTGCTGGCCAGCCTGCTAAAAAATGTACTGGGGGGGAGGGAAGGGAAATGTGTGTAGTCTCTAGCATTAATCTACACGCTTTTGTTTATCGGTTAATCAGTTAATCAACTGACATACCCAACAAGTCTCATCTTTAGCTAACCCTTGTGCCCTGCAGCATATGTTTCCAACTAACAAGTCAAGCCTGTGCTTTCTTTCTCTCCCTATCGCTTTCTTTTTATTTCTGTTGTTATCCTGTGTATTCTGGTTGCACCCAGCAGCTTTGTCATGCAGGAGGTCACCCGTGAAGTACACACAGAACAAAGAAACAGTCTCTGACTGAAACAGCTCAGAACTTAAATATAATACAAGAGTCAACAAGTAGAGACAGGCCAGAGAACACTTAAGAAACAATCAGACAGCTCTGTTTGCTTAAGTGCCTTCCTCCCTGCAGATGCTTTCAAGTCTCAGAGCCCGGGCCCAGAGTTAATGAGTCCTGTCTCCTGTTCCCTTTTGTGTTGTCTCCTATCCCATGTGCTCCTGTGGTTTGTTTTTGTGACATTTTGGGAGGATGACAATGGCCATGTCCTCCTCTCACTCTCTTTATGCCAGGTTGGGGATTTTCTCTGGCTCGCTGATTGCACCCAAAGGTGCAGCTGTGACTCCTCTTCCGCTTTCCGGTGTGTCCCAGCCAGCTGCAGCCCCGGCCAGCGATGTGCTGTGAAGGATGGGAAGCTGGGCTGTCAGAGCCAGCTGACAACCTGCACGGTGACAGGGGACCCTCACTACTTCACTTTCGATGGGGCTGTGGCACATTTCCAGGGCACATGCGCCTACGAGATCTCCCACACCTGCAACTCCTCCCTCGACTTCTCCTTCCGCGTGGTGGCTGAGAACAGGCACCGCAGCAATCGCCAGGTCTCCTTCGTGTCCCGGGTGGATGTCTGGCTGAGAAGAAGGGATCTCAATGTTCACATTGTCCTAGGGGACAGCAAGGCCGCCGAGGTGAGCCTGGAGCCTGGATCACTGGGATGGGTTCCCTAGGGAGGGGGTGGAATGTCCATCCCAAGAGGTTTTTAAGTCCTGGCTTGACAAAGCCCTGGCTGGGTTGATTTAGTTGGGGTCGGTCCTGCCTAGAGCAGGGGGCTGACTATTATCCCCATTTTACATGTGGGGAAATCGAGGCACATATTACCAGCTCCTATGTGAGAGTTAGCCATGCCTTTCAGCATCAGCACCAGAGAGACCAAGGGCTGGATTTTCAAGATATTGAGGTTGGCTAAGGATGCTAGTAGTGTGTTTAATCAAAAACACCATGGTGCTTCTGAAAACCCCAGCAGTGTTTCTCTGCTTCTTTAGAGCTGGTGCACTTGCTGGAAATCTGATCTTAAAGGACTTGCCCAAGGTCACACAGTCTGTGGCAGACTGAAAACTTGAACCCTTCCCACCCAGCTCTCACACCAGCCCCTAGCGGCCAGCCCCTTTAGTGCCTCCCCTACTACAAGGCAGAGGGTGGGAGTGGTGTTTGTTAAGGTCGTTTGTCCAAGGAGAAGCAGAACTTCAGTTGGAATTGTCCTGGGAGCATCTCTCCCTCGAACTATGTGCCCCCTCCAGACTTGTCAACCTTTGGCTCCTGCTCCTGCTCCTGCTGCTGTGTGTGCTGTCTGCATGGAGGAGGGATTCAGCATGGTAGACAGACTGGTTGAGGCATGTATGTATAGCCTGGGCATCGCACCCAGCACACTGGCCAGACGAGCTACACTGCACAGAGAGATGCCAGGGATAGACTGAGGGGACGTTGCTTCCCCTGCCCCCGACTGAGGGTACATTGCTTCCACTGTACACTCGCTAGCCCAGTGTTTCTTAAACTTTTTAAGACCAAGGAATACCAAACAATTTGTTTTTTTATGAGGAACAGCAAGGATTTTTTTGTTGAGGGGAAAAAAAAGGTGTGTGTGGGGGGGGGGGGGGAGATTGATTGGTAGAAAAGTTTAAGGGAGGCTGTTTTGAATTCTGTTGGTCTCCACGGCACACCTCTGACTGCCTTGCGGCACACCAGTGTACTGTAGACCACAGTTTAATACACTGCACTAGCCACTGCAGCACTCAAGCCAGCATGTGAGATTACAGTCCTGGAAACAGATGCAGTGCACAAACTGTGCTGTGCTCCTCTTCTTGTGTCCTTTGGGGAGCTCTGGGTTATAGATTTGTCTCCTCAGACAACACAGCAGTTTCCATGTGGGTTTAGCGCTGGAATGCTGCAGTGGAAATGCCCCTCTGTAACCCTTGGGAATAGTTTTTATTACCTCCCCAGGAGGTACTCCCCCTTCCAGATCACCTCCCTTCCTGTTTCAGGTTAATGGGACAAAGACCCTCATACCAGCCCAGCTGGGTCATGTGGCCAATCTCACCAGGGTGAGGAACATGGTGATTCTGAGAGCAGACGCCAACGTGGAGATCCAGTTTAATGGCCGCCATGCCTTGTTTGTCCGCGTGGGCCCGGAGTATCGAGAAAAGTTGTGCGGCATGTGTGGGAACTTCAATGGCGTCCGCAGGGATGATAAAGTCCTGCCCAGTGGAGAGACAGCCCGGGATGATGCAGAATTCGGAAATGCCTGGACCTCTGACATCAGCCCACCGAGGTGTGTGTGTTATCTCTTCATGGTCCCTTCTTTTCTCTGAGCACCTGTTTCCGTGGCCACAGCCCTTCTCCTCTCTACACCGTTGCTCTCGGCTACTGCCTGTTTTGGTTTGGCAGCCTCTCTCCTTCCATTCCCATCTGGCAACCATAGAACACATGCTGTTTCCCATAAATTATTGATCTTTGTTTATACTCAACTCATTGTTCTTCATGCAGAGTGACAATATTTTTACCTGACAACAATTTAAAGAATTCTTGTTGAAGCACAGAATATTTAATGTTACCCTAGAAACAGTCCAGAGAATGGCAATGAAAATGATTATGATTAGGGCTGTATCCACAAGGAGATTAGAAAGACAGGGATTGTTTAGTTTAGAAAAGAGAGCACTAAAAGGGAATATGAACACTATGACTGAGTCAGAGAAAATGAATAGGGATGTGTTATCTAGCCCAGGTTCATGTAACACAAGAGCCAGGGCTCACCTGATGATATTAATGTTTCAGATTTAAAACAAAGCAAAGAAGGAATTTTTTCACACAACATGCTATCAGCTGTGGAACTCATTGGCAGGGGTTGTTGTGAAGGCCAGAAGTAATAAATGAATTGAAAAAAGTCTCAGGGTATGTCTTCATAGCAGGGCAAAAGTCAAATGAAGATTCACAACTTGAGCTATGTCAATTGCATAGCTGAAGTTGAAATAGCTTAGTTCGGCTTTTGGCCCTATCTATACTGCAAGAAGTCGAAGGAAAAACATGCTTCCTTCGACCTTCCCTTGCTCCTCATGAAACGAGGGTTACAGGGGCTGGAGTAAGAAGTTCTCCAGCTCGACATTATTTTGAAATAACGGCTTGCTGTGTACACTTGAATTTTTTTATTTTAAAATAATGTCAGTTTTTCTGAAATAACATTGCCGTGTAGACATGTCCTTGGAGGGGTAGCCATATTCGTCTGTAACTTAAAAATACTAAAAAAACAACAAATAGTTCTGCAGCACCTTAGAGACTAACACAACATGTAAGATGGTATCATGAGCTTTCGTGGGCACAAACCACTTCTTTATCTGACAGCTGAAGCTCTTGACACCATCTACATTTTTTGTTAGTCTCTAAGGGTATGTCTACACTAGCCCTCTAGGGAACGAGATCCTAATTCGAACTACCTACTCCGTGCCGCGTGTAGCCACGGGCACAGAGTTCGGACTAAGGGGGATTTAAAAATGGCGGCACCCGGGAAGATGCAAATGAAGCCCGGGCTATTTAAATCTCGGGCTTCATTTGCAACTTCGAATGCCTACATTAACCTCCCTAGTTCGAACTAGGGGGCTAGTGTAAACATACCCTAAGGTGCTGCAGAACTAGTTATTGGATTGCAAAAAAAAAAAATAGATAAGTTCCTGATAGTCCATTGAAGGCTTTTTAGTTAGAACCCTGCAAATGTGGATGGAGATATCCCTGGCTCATTTTAGCAGATATCAATGCAGATGCACATACCAATTTTGTATCTAGAATCCTGCAAACTTGCAGATGTCCACTTTATATCCACAGGTCCCCACCTCAGTGGATGTGGATGCAGCTATCCGCAGCTCAATTTAGTGGCTCTGGATGCAGGTGCGGATACAAATTATGTGTCCACACAGGGCTCTCTATTTAGTCAAAATGATCAACTGCATGTTCTGTGTGTCCCTAAACCTCCAACTGCCAGGCACTGGGACTGGACAACAGGGGATCATGAGATAGTTTCCCTGTTCTTTTCACTCTCTCTGAAGCATCTGGCACCCAGCCCTCTTAGAAAGGATCCATGGCTAGATGGCCCATTGGTCTGAACCAGTACAACCATTCTACAGGCTGCATTTTGTGCTCTGGATTATAAGTGCACCTCTCATCTACCCTCTGCCAGACATGTCTGCTGCCCTCTTGTGCCAGGCACATCATTCTCCTGCAGAGGACATCACCTTTCACAGAACTGCAGAGAACAGCATTTGTTCCCATTCCCATGCCTTGTCTGCTTAGAAAGGTGATGCAAGTTGTTTTGGAAAATGCCCCCTTGCTGCCAGAGGATTTGCAGTCACCAGGCTCTCACCAGCTCCCCCTGCAGCGCAAGTGCACTTTGTAGCAGAAGCCCCAATTTCTCTTTGAGCCCTGCCAGCTGTGCTGTGGATCTGGAACAGCAGGTGTTAGGGAAACTTCCATAAAGGCACAGCTCTCCTCTCCCTCCCCCCTTTCCCGGGAGAGTGAACTCCCCCGTATCACAGCTGAGTCACTGCCCCACTCAGCCCAGGGCCATTGCCAGGAATTGGCCTCTGTGCTTGTGTATGCCTTGACATCTTGATGAGCAGCCGTGGCACTGTTGTCATGTAACAGGTGTAGGAATGACACCGGCTTCACTGGGTCCTGTCCCGAAGTGTCCAGGGTTGAGCAAGCATGTGGCTTATTAACGAATCGCACCGGGCCGTTTGCTGAGTGTCACTGGCACGAGAGCCCAGCCCCCTACTACGAGTCCTGTGTCTACGACCTCTGCCAGTATGGCCAGGGCAATCGCATGCTGTGTGCAGCAGTCGAGTCGTATGAAGATCTGTGTGCCATTCACGGCGTGGCGATAGGAAACTGGGGAGAAGCAATCCAATGCGGTAAGCAATAACTGTCTTGCCTGTTATTCTTCATTAGTTGTGTGCTTGCTAGCTTCTGGGACCATACAAGTTCTAGAATGAGTTGCTTCTCAACACATGCAATGCAGAGTGTGGTATACCCCAGTCCTCACTGCGTCTGGTGAGGTTATGGGTCTGCTAATTTGAATGTCAGCATAGATTCTGTCTTCACACCTTGTTAAAGGGTAGGCTCCCCTCAGACTTACACCCGCCTCATCATCAGGGCTATCCGTGTCCTACTCCCCAACACCTGAGTGCTCCCTGCTTCCCTATCCAGTCTTTGGCTTGGGCGAGCCCAATCTACAAGTCTGCTGCTGTAGTCAATTGGCTTATCTTTGCCGGCTGGTCAGGGCAGCAGAGTGGAAGCAGGACTTGGGCCCACCCCCTCTCCAGGTCCCGACCCAGGACCCTAAAGGCAGGGGAAAGGCTCCGCTGCCTGGTTGGAGGAGATATTCCCTAAAACTCACCAACCCTCAGGGAATTAGGGGTTTTCCTTACCCCGTCCGGGGCCACATCCTTCCCTCCGCGTCATGCCGTCTAGGGCTGGTGTCCTGCCTGCTCGGAGCCCGTCCTCCTGACTCCTCTTCCCCCTTCTCTGTGGCCCTTGGCCACCTTTTGAATTGGCATGTCAGTGGCCCCTGCCCCTGACACCCTTCCTGCCACAGCAGCCACTCACCCTTCCTCCCTCGCATGTGGGAAGGCGGCTATGGAGCAGACCCAGCAAAACCGCCGCGCAGCCAGCTACCAACACTTCGGCCGCCTTACGGTGAGTGTGGGGCTTCGCGGACTCAGCGCCTGCTGGGTCCTCTGCCCCGTCACACACCCCAACACCGGGGCTGCAGGAATCCTAACCACACAAAGAAGCTCCACACAAGCACATGCAGTGTAAATTTAATAATCCCACAATTCAGCAAATAGGAGTCTGGGGAATAGAGCTTCTTCTACGAGTGCTTGCTCATGTCCCTTCCATGTAGGTATGTGCATATCCGCCCACATGCCTGGGAGATGGAGATTTTCCTCTTCGCGATATCCTGAGGTATAGCGCTGTTGCCCCCTGAAGTCCTGCACTCATGCACTGGCATATGGGTTCTCATTGGCAAATTTACTCTGCATTGCTCAGGTCATTAAAGAGGGGCTCAGGGCAGGGGGCTGGCGGTGTAAGGGGTATGGAGTCAGGCAGGGGCTTGGGGATGTGGGAGGCTCAGGCCAGAGGGCTGGGGGTGGGGTGGCGAGTGCAGGAGTCCAGGTTGGGGTGAGAAGGAGCTAAGAGCAGGAGTGTGCGGCCTGGGGCAAGGAATGGAAATGAACAGTGGCTGCTCCTTGGGGGCAGTGGGAATCGCATGACCCTCCCACCGGCTGCTCCCTGGGGCCTAGCTGGGGTGGCTGGAGTTTTGCTGCCAGGGGCTGGGGCTCTTACTGCCTCCCTGTGGTCTTTATGAGGCATAACAGTGTCTGTTATAACACCTCTTCCTTTCCGTTTGATGAGAAACAATCACTTTCCAGGCACAACCAAACCCTGACCTTGATTTATGTTTTGATAAGAGGAAGCTGCAGACCAGATTTGGTGGTCCTAGATCTTACTGTTTCAGAGGAGTTTTTGAACAAATGGACTCATAGATGGATGGACACACAGAGGGTATGGACACACAGCAAAGTTACCATATATATAGGAGCCCAATGTCTGCAAGTCTGTAACATCTGTAGTGTTACAGACTTGCCTCTGGGGGGAGCTCTTGCCTCCCGCCGTGGCACTCAGCTGTGTTCTGCGCCACTCAGCGGGGCTGCGGCGGGGGAGCAAGTGGTGGCAAGTGGCCATTTGGGGTCCGCGGTCCCCAGCTGGGCCCCAGGTGGCAAGCGGCCCTTTGGGGTCTGCACTCCCCACGGGACCCCAAAGGGCCACTTGCCGCTGCTTGCTCCCCTGCTGCAGCCAAGCTGTGTGGCAGAGAACTCAGCCGAGCGCCACGGTGTGAGCGGAAGGAGGGTGGGGCGATGATGTACATGGCCAGGGGGCAGGGCCATATACATCACCGCCCTGCCCCCCTTCCCCTTCCGCCATGGTGTTCAGCTGAGTGCTGCAAGGCCACCGTGGGGGCGCAAGCGGCCATTTGGGGTCTATGCTGCATGGGGACCGGGGCGGTGATGTAAACGGCCCTGCCCCCTGGCCGTATACGTCACCACCCCGTCTCCCTCCTCTGCAGGGGCCCACTGCAGGAGGGGAAGGGGGCCGGGAGAGACGGAGCGGAGAGAGAGGCAGGAGGAGGAGGAGGAGAAAAGAAAGGGAGAGTGAGAGGCAGGAGGGGGAGAAGAGAAAGAGAGAGACAGAGAGAGAGGCAGAAGGTGGAGGAGAGCTGAGAGAGGGAGGGGGAGGCAGGAGGAGGAGGAGAGAGAGAGACAGGAGGCTCAGGAGAGAAGACCAACGTGGAGGAGAGACCTGAAAATCCCATCTTAGGACAGGCTAATTGGCTAGTTTCAAAATAACAACCCTTATTTCGACATAACTTTCCTATCCTCTACACTGCCAAACCACTATTTCAAAATAAATTCAAAATAGGGGAGTGTTTATTTCAAATTTGGTAAACCTCATTCTACAAGGAGCAATGCCAAATTCGAAATAGCTATTTCAAAATAAGTGCTGTGTAGACACTTATTTTGAAATAGGGGCCTCATTATTCCCAGAATGCCCAGGTGGCCACTCCAGCCTGAACCAAGAACACCTCTCTCCCTTCTCCCTTCCCCGGAGCCGTTAAAGGGGTAGACTCTGGCCACAGTGCCTGTACGAGCTCCAAGCCTGCCAGCCCAGAGCCAGCAGTCACTGCCCCTGACCCAGTGGCCCCAAAACATGAGCCAGAAAACCACAGGCAGCCAGCCCTCCACCGCTCCCCAGGACCAGTCTGCCAGCTCCTAGGAGCCTGACAAGGCCCAGAGAAGGCGGGCACCTTCCTGGTCCGGGGTGGAGATCATGGACCTTATTCAGGTTTGAGGGGGATGCCCCCAACGTCCATGATCTCCGCACTAGACAGAGTAATGTGGCCATGTATGGCAGCATAGTTCCCAGCCTGGCCACCAAAGGCCACATGCGAACCTAGGAGCAGGTTTGCATGACAATCAAGTTGGTCCGGCGAGACCCTCAACCCTGGGGCCTGAGAAACCACCCCATGAGACGCACTGGGGCAGCTCTGGCTCCACGTGGCCGAGTGCTGTGGTGTCCCGAGTGCGGGCACTCAAGACACTCCAAGACAGGACTGCTTTGCTGTCCCTCATCGAGGTAGACAAGCAAGCGGCGAACCCTGAGAACTGTCTCTCTGGGGTAGAGGTAAGGTCCTTTTAAACATGGAGCTCAGTTAGCCTCAGGTATCAGTCCCACACGCTAAGGGAATGTCTACTACAGTGCTATTTCGAATTAACTTAATTCAAAATAGTTAATTCAAATTAAGCTAATTCGAAATAACGCATCTATACACAAAAACTATTTCAAAATAGCATTTTGAAAAACTATTTCAAAATAGCACGTCCACACTGCGTGGACCCTGAACCGAAGTTAAGGGTGGCCGGAACCAGAGCTGGTAGGGCATCAGGTTAGGACTTAGTGTGTGGAGCTGATGCCTTAGGCTAACTGAGCTCTGTGCTTAAATGAACCCTACCCCCACCTTGGACAGACAGTTCTCAGGGTTCCCCGCTTGCTTGTCTACCTCGATGAGGGACAGTAAAGCAGTCCTGTCTTGGAGTGTCTTGAGTGCCCGCACTTGGGACATCACAGCACTCGGCCATATGGAGTGTCTCGTGGGGTCATTGCCATCAGCCTGGGTGCACTTGCTGCAGGCTGACATCTGGTGGGGGTTCATTGGGAGGCTGTCAGGATCCAGGAGGCCTTGAGGGAGAGCGTCCACCCTGAGGATCCCTCAGAGCCTCCCTGGTGCTCCCCACCGGGTTCTCGTGCCCCATTCCTCCCTCACGTCCTTCCACTTACCTCTTTCTAGTCCCCCTTCCTGATGTCAAATAAAAGACATGTATGTTCAAAAATAGAAACTGGGTTTATTGAACAAAACTGGGGAGGGATGAACCTCTGGGGAGACTGGGAAAAGGAGGTGGGAAAGGGGAAGAGAGAGGGTGGAAGAGACGAGGGGGGAGCTGGAAGGGGGAAGCAAAGGGAAGAAGCTCAGGGTTCAGGATTGGGGGTCTCGTCAGACCAACTTGACTTTCATGCTATCCTGCTCCTGGGTTCACATGTGGCCTTTGGTGGCCAGGCTGGCAGCTATCCTGCCCTAGACGGCCGCATTCCACCATCTAGTGCGGAGATCATGGATGTTGGGGGCATCCCCCCAAACCTGAATAAGTTCCATGATCTCCACCCTGGAGCAGGAAGGTGCCCACCTCCTCCAGCCCCTGTCAGGCTCCTGGGAGCTGGCAGACTGCTCCTGGGGAGCGGTGGAGGGCTGGAGGCCCCCTATTTCAAATTAAGTGTCTACACAGCACTTAATTCAAAATAGCTATTTCGAATTTGGTGTTATTCCTTGTAGAATGAGGTTTACCAAATTCTAAATAAGGGCTCCAGTATTTCAAATGTATTTTGAAATGGCAGTTTGCCTGTGTAGATGCTCATACAGACTGATATAGAGCCTCTTGCCACTCATGCAGACTCTCACCCATCCCCGCCATCCCCCAGAAGCTGGAGCACCTGCACCATCTTCCTGCTGGTCAGGAGAGAAAGCCTCCAGAGGAACAGCAGAGCACAGACACCCGGCCCAGGGTATACAGCCTTGATAGAGAGCCATCACTGGCTCCAGGGAGGGATTGATGCTGGAGGTCTTCCAGACAGAGAAGAAACTAAAGGCACTCCCCAGGCTGCTCACAGCCTAGACTTGTCAAAGTACCCTTGCGAGAGATCCACTCCACAAGGAAGTCTGTGCTGAGTGTACCCCTCCAACTGCCAGGGTGATCCCAGTCACCACATCACCACTCGCACCCTGGTTTGAGCCAATCAC